CTAAATTGTTACCACAGCAACCATTCAATGTTGCCATAGAAACTACACACTCTTAACATAGCAACCACACACGGTTACCGTAGCAACTCCAAATCACTACCTAGCAACTAAACACTGCTACCATAGTAACTACGTACTGATACTATAGCAACTACACACTGTTACCATAGCAACTACACACTGTTACCATGGCTACTAGTACACACTGTTACCATAGCAACTCACCATAGCAACTACACACTGTTACCATAGCAACTACACACTGTTACCATAGTAACCACACACCGTTACCAGGAACGAGAGCGAGGGTCGACAAGGGGCTATTGCGATGCAATCTGGACAAGAGTCCAGGCTGGCTCCCTTAGTTCCAACCTCTCGGTACTGGAAACGATACATTTTCTAATCCTCATCACCCATCTCCAAGTTGCAGTCATACAATAAAATTACAATCTCATCGTACTCACATCTTGAGTTAAGCGCAAAGTAGGGTTGCCATTATCGGTACAATTCTTTTTATCGCGATAATCGATAATTTTTTCGAAATTATCGCGATAATATCGGTTATCGGCGATAAATTTGGCAAGATAATTGAAGTAATATTTGTCTGCACTCTGCGTACTTACATATTGTATTATGCTCCTATGCTATGTAACCTTGCAATATCATCATTATATAGTAACAAAATGGCATAAAATGTAGAAAATCAACAATCAGCATATCTAACGAAGATTCATTCAAGTTACAAAATAGTTTATTCAAAAAAGTCTGCTGGCGTGGTACGATATAATATAATGAACGGCGTATTTCTTAGATAGTGTCAGTTTTCTGCCTGTTAGTTGTGAATAGGTCAATCTCCCGAGCAAGGGTATCTATCATTGGTACCGAGTTGTCGAATGGCCTGTAAGTCCTGATAACCAGTCGCCGTTTGTCTCTTACTACTTGAACAACCGCTGGTGCAGGGACTTAAAGTTACTTCGTGATAATTCTAGAACGTTACCAGCGATACAAAGTTAAGGTTCTTTCAATCTTTCTCTTAACATATCGTGTACGTAGACTATCAACTTCAAGAAGAGATCGAAAATGTAGCAATTATATCTTTTCCGGCTGTCAATAAACTGAAGAATCACTTCTGCATGAGCGAGATTTTTGTCTCTTTTACACAGAACTGATAATGTCTTTAACTAACTCAGTCTTTTCAGCATCCAGTTTTAGATTACCTAGCTCCAATTCAACCAAAACGTCGTTCACTGCATTGCAGTTATCACTCCAACTGCCAACATACTGCACAGTGAGCTCCAACGGTTTTTGCAGTCTTGTTGTAGTCTGAGTTCCTTTCTGTGCTTCAACAAACAACAATCTCTACGTCTGAGCATACAACCTTCAAGTTCAATCCACCTACTTACTTAGATGCGATAACGCAACATTTAAATTTTCATTGCCACAAATTCATTCACAATACACACTACACAGCACGTCAGCATACCATCACACTGTAAATTATGCTAGCACTGGGGTTTTACTCTACAAACAAAGAAACAGATTAGAAAATCTGTGCCATTTTTCCCTAATAAAAAGTGGTTGATTATCGCGATAATTCTCGAAAATTATCGCGATAATCGATAACGATTTTTGGAGAATTATCGCCGATAATTATCGGCCGATAATATCGGCTGGCAACCCTAGCGCAAAGCGTCACTATGGGACCTTCGCGATGCGAACCAGACACATAGTCTGGACTGGTACCTCAGACGCTAACGTGAAACTTACAGAGTATATAGGATATAACAACATACTCGGGCGTAAGGAGTCGATACGGAGCTATTGCGATGCAATCCAGGCAAGTGTCTGGACTGGCTCCTAAAACTCCAAACGCTCGGGCGAGCGGCATGGCAACTCTGATTCTTTACAAATAGTTATCTTACCAATCATACAGTACGCAAAACGAACGCAGATTTCAATTCTTATATAGCGAAATAGCCGAAGTGCGCGGAGGCCGGGGAGAGGGGCAAGCTCCGGCGCGCGCGCCGGGATAGCACCCCAACACGGCAACGCGCAGCAGAGTAGTGGGGTCGGCCACACTACCGAATACACGAGAAGCCAACCCGGGATTTATTACCCGCACGGCTATATTATTATGCGCAGTTGAAACCTGGGGGCTCGCCGACCAGGTTCACCGGGTGGAAACTGAAGGCATATATGACCCCCATATCTGAAAGCAGGTTGGGGGCACTACGGAAAGCTTAGAAGCTCCCGTCACCTACTAACTACTAACTACTAAGTGCTATATCATCTGCAAAGTCCACATCGGTGATGATCTTGGGCCCCACTCTTCTGCTTTTTCTACGTTCGAGGGTGAGTCCAAGTCGCTCCGCATCATCGCCTATGGCTTGCCTCATACAGTAGTCGATGACTATTGCAAAGAGGTAAGGTGCTAAGGTATCACCCTGTAACACACCTGCAAGTATCTCGAACAATTCAGTTTCTCCGTCTGGAGTTAGGACTTTGGCCATTGTCTTCTCGTACATGAGCCGTATAAGCTGCACGATTTTGACTGGAATGCCGTAAGCTTCTAGAATCTTTAGCATTTTCCCACGATGTACACTGTCGAAAGCCTTCTTAAAGTCTATAAATGTCAGAACAGCTGGCAGTTTCCGACTCTTGACACCCTCTATAAGACGTCTCAGTACCAATATCTGTTGAGTTGTTGACCTTCCTGGTCTGAATCCATTCTGGTTTCTACGCAGAATTGTCTCGATTTCTGGCTTCAACCGGTTTAGAACCATCTTGTTTAGAGACTTGGCAACTAGGGATGACAAGCTTATTCCCCGATAGTTCATTGGTTCGCTAAGGTCGCCCTTCTTTGGAATTGGTATGATGTTGGCAGTTGACCATTGGTCTGGTTTCTCACCTTTCAATAGAGCATTGTTACAGAAGTCTAAGACAATTAGATCAAGGTCGCATCGTTTTAAGACTTCTGGGGCTATGTTGTCGTCACCCCATGCTTTCCCTGCCTTTATGCTGGACTTTGCTTTCCTGTACTCATCCAACGTAAACGGTTCTGTTCCGATATTCAGAGGTGGGTGGACTGGATCAATATCCTCTTCCGCGTTCTCTACCGTCGGTGGTGAGCCGAGAAGAGTAGCAAAATAGTCCTTCCATTTCTGAACCCTTTCCGTTGGTGAGTTTCCCTTGATTTTGCCAGTATATGATGGAGCTTTACCTGTGATCTTGTTGATCATGGTCCAGCTTTTAGCATGTCTGCCCTGCCAACTTGCTTCCTCCACTTCCCGGACCTGCCCCTCCAGCAGGTGCTCTTTGGCTGCTTGATAAGCATCGCCTAGCTTCTGTTTGCCCTCTTGAACAGCTATTCGGTTGTCTTCTGTAGCATCTGAGTGGTATTTTATGCTACATTCCCTCAGCTTCAGCCTGGCAATCTCAACACTTGGAGTCGCTGAGATTTTACATCTTTTCTTTTTCTCCTTTTCAGGTAGTAAAAGTCGAGAAGTTGTCCTATTCGCATCAATAAAGCATTGGTACCTTTCTGTTGCCGTCTGATCATCCTTTTCAAGTATGGAAAAGCGGTTTTTAACTTCCACTGTGTACCTCTCTTGTAGAGCGATATCAGTTTTAAGTTTAGACCAGTCCAGAACCGGAGCCCTCTTCTCCGTCTTGCTTATCCGTAGACTAAGCTTTACCCTTGCTACGACTACTCTGTGATCCGAGCCAATACTGTGGAAACTACCATATGCTTCGGAGTTCTTGACGGAGTTCCGCCATTTCTTCCGGCAAATGATGAAGTCGATTTGAGATTTACTTTGACTCATATCTGAGAGATATGTCCAGAGTTTACCTCTTCGCTTCTGAAATCTGGTGTTTGTGATTTCTAGCTGTCGCTCCAACAGCATATCCTCTAGCAGTCTACCATTTCGGTTTGCTGGACCCTTGTGGAAGGATGTCCAGTTTCCTGATGATGAGACATGCGCATTGAGGTCTCCTACAACGAATAGTAAGTTGTGGGCTGGTATCTGGTCGATGGCACCACCAAGGCTGTCGTAGTAGTTTTCTGCTTCGTCGACAGTCGCCCCCTCTGTCGGGCTATAAGTCACAATAACAGTTGTGACCGGGTTCCCTGCAAAGTTGGCTACCATCGTCCTCCTGTCATGTGAGTATACACTAATCAATGAGTTGAATACTGTCTTTTTGTCCAAGACAATACCAACCCCACCAGCAGCCGCCCCATTGCTGGTTCTCCATGCCGAAGTTGTTATGAGGTGAGAGCTTCCAAGATCTTGATACTCGATTTCAGTGCTATGTACTACCCGATGCTCCTGAATGCCCAAAATATGTACGCCACTATCCCTCATGCATACACCCAGCTCATCCCTCTTGTATTGTTCTCTTATTGTTCGTACATTAAGAGTTCCTACAAGAATTTCCTTCTGGCCACGTAGTAACTTAGGGTACCAGCCTTTGAAAGAGTTGGAGCAGGAGATTTGGGTGTGACCCGCCGGTCGAGAGATTAAGGTGTGTGCCCGAGGTAAATACCCCACACACCATGTGTTGAGTCTACGGCGGCGCCCGGCCAATAGGCAGGTCACAAATTGTTTTGCCAGACTTGTATAACCGCATCATAGTACTCAAGCGAACAACCATCCCCCTGTTCGCTAGGGCCGTTACTGCAGAAAGCCTCACGTCTAGAACAATTGATCATTTGTCGCTCCTGATCCTAGAGCATCCTTGTCTCGTTACTTGTCACATGCACTTTTTCTAAAGAGGAACTGTATAGTGATATACAGAAAGAAAATCTGTAGTAGATTTTCAAAGGCGACTGATAATATTGCGGACGCCACACCAGCAATATGACAACCATACCATAATCCAACATTCCCATGCACCTTTATAGTTTAGAGTGCTTAGAACTATCCCAACTGCCAATATATTGCCAAAACGTTTTTGTCCAACAGAAATGCCAACTATAGTTATAGTGTTATACACTGTGCCTCAAATTATTTGATCAAAGAGTGGAATCTGAATATTAATGAATCAAAGACAGAGTTTGTACACGTCTACATAGCTGGGAAAGATGAGGTCATGGATGATGGTAAACCCCTTAGAATGAATGAAGAATGGTGCAGTAGCAAGTTGTTGGGTTCTCTGCTAGAAAGTAGGAAAGATGTCACCAGAAGAATCATGTTAGCCAATGTAGCATTCCAGAACTTCAAGAAGGTCTGGTGCCAGAGTAAGATCCCCCTACAGAAGAAGCTGAAGGTCTATGAGGCCCAAGTAGTATCTATCCTCATGTATAACTCTAGTTGCTGGGGAATGCCTAAATCGTACTGGGACAAACTAGATGCATGTCACCGTAACCACCTCAGAAAGATCATGAATGTCAGCTGGCCACGCAGTATTATGTCCAAAGATACCCTCTACAAACAGAGTAACTCTACCCCTATGTCTGAGCGTGCTGAGTTATCTAGGTGGAAGATGCTAGGACACATACTGAGGAGCGATGAAAGATCACCAGCTCAAGCTGCGCTGTGTTTTGCTGTCGAGATGTGTAGTGAAGTTGGTAGACTCGGGGCTCACAGACGTAACCTCCTACACCACCTGAAGGTTGACCTCTGGAAGCGTTTCATCTTGCTGGAGTCAATGAAACGAAAAGTTTTCAATGAAACGAAAAGTTTTATTTTACATTCCTCATAAATAAAATAAGAGCTTAAACCACGAATTAGTTAGCTAGAAGTAAACTTGAGGAAATATTTTTGGTGATTGTATATAATTATTTAAAAAACTTTATTTGGTTGTTAGTATTTTAATTATGGTAAGTGGTTGAATTTAGTGAGACAAGGTCAGTTTCTCTATTATCTTAGAAAAATTCCTACTAAGTTACAGTAGGCAATGCTGAGTGGCAGGAATGAGGGACCAAAACGCTTGGGGCTAACAATGGCCCATTTACAAACCACTTCAGACATGGCAATGATGTCATTTATGCTTAATTCGTCTGAAACTGACCCTACTGCACTTGTAACATTCTATAAAAATCTCTTCTAAAATAGGTATAAAAATGCATAACACAAAACACACAAACAAAATGTTTATAATCCTTATATAATAAATTTCTATAGAACTTTTAAATTTATATAAAACTAATAAACCTATATATATATAATTCATTTTGCACCCAGAGAAAGATGTGATCACAGAGGTAGTTTCGATATTATGTTCATGACAAGGTATGGGGCTGCTGCAAGTTATATTTTGCTAAGATATTACCGCTTTTTCAAGCTTAAGTAATCTAGGCAAGGTCAATTTTAAAGTTTTTGAATTTTGTCGAACGCTGTTTAAGGCTAAGTTCCAGTCATTTGGTTCTCCTTCCTTTTGAGTGTGAGTGATGGTGATTCTTATGGATGATTTGAGGTGATTGGGCTTATAACAGGTGAATGTAGTTAGCATGAGATTTTGTCGTACTGTATTCCATATTGTCCCTGCTCTGTATATGTAGCTGTCTGATGGTTTAGGTGTGAGAATGAGGGTCTCTTTGCCAAGTCTGCCAGATGTTTCAAAGAGGGACTATAGTGATATAGGGGTTCTATATTTCAAGACCTTGAAGATGTCATTAATACAATGGTAGAAGTACAGATTATGCACATTCATGATTTCATGAGTGTTGAAGAGGGGTTTTGTATGCTCCTTTCTGTAGAATTCCTTGCCCAAGATTTGCTCCCCGTAGGGTCTGCATCGTGCACTAGTTTTAAATTTATCCAAGTATGCTTCTTTATCTCCAAACATTATGCGGGCACACATTTTCTGTGCTTTGAACAGAGGTTCAAGTTTTTTGTTAGATGCCCCTCCCCAGACAGTTATACCATATGCAAGATAGCTTTCAAACAGAGTGTGATATAGATCTTTATGGAGTGATGTGGGAATGTTATCTTTAATTCTATTTAGCATGCCACAGCAGCTGGCTAGTTTTTTTGCTAATTTCCTTCTATGTGCGTTCCAGTTTAGGTCTTTATCGATTGTTACACCTAAGAATTTAGTTTCATGTACTCTCTCCAAGGGTATGCCATTGATATTGATTTCTTGATCAGAGGGTGTATCTTCATCTTTGTTGGATCGAGAGTTTGAGAATTCAAGGTAACAGCTCTTGCCAGTGTTTATGTGAAGTTTATTGGCAAGCATGTAGCGGTGTACGGAATTTAGGACTTCATTGGCTTTTTTGTATGCTAGGTTTTTACTTTTTGCAGCGACGAAGATATTTGTGTCATCAGCAAATAGAACAAATTTAGAGTTCTTTTCAGAGTTTGTAAGATCGTTTATGTAAATTAAGAACAGAAGGGGCCCTAAGCAGCTCCCTTGTGGCACTCCAAAAAGCACAGGTAGAGTATCAGATATTTCATTGAGCACACCAACATATTGTTTACGGTCGGAAAGATAACTTTCCAGGAGTTTGTGTGCCCGTCCTCTGATCCCGTATGTGTTTAATTTTTTGAGAAGTATTGAGTGATCTATTGTATCAAATGCTTTACTTAGGTCGATAAAGATTCCTAAAACATGATTACCGGCTTTGAGTGACTGCTGAATGTGGTGAATAGAGTAGTTGAGTGCATGTGATGTTGAATGACCCTTTCGGAACCCAAACTGGCTATCGTGCAGTATTCCCTGACTCGAGAGAAAACAAATTTAGAGTTCTTTTCAGTCGTATGATGATATTCTCCATTTGAGAGAACTTGCTAGTGACCGTGGTTATTGGACTAAATTGTTTAACTTTATACTTGAGTAGAAGTCAATTTGACTATTGGGACATATAATTTTACAAAGGATCACGTTTCGGTTCTAAATTATTTTAGGATTGTTGACATTTGTAAGATTGACATGTTTGATGTGGTTTCATCAATAAAAACGAAGAAGTTTATAAATTTGAATTAGGGCTAGCGTTGGACCTTATTTAAAATGTTTTGACTCCTTAACATGTTCACTTCATAAAATTAAAGTTTAAATTAATCTATATTTTTATTCATGAACATTTTTGATTATCTTATGTATCCTTACGTTTTGATATAATTTGATTTGTGGATGCTTGCAGAGTAACAAGGTGAGATATCTGCAACATCAGTTAAATAAAAGGAAGTGATTAATTACTATTCTACAATGGTTGGAGCAAATTAGAAACAATTCATCAAAAATGGTGCACTTCGTTGTGTTACTAATATTTTTATGTAAGTTAGCAGATGTTCTTACTGGTGCCAATATAACTAATTTGGCGATCTCTGAGGAATCTACATTGCTTTATTAGTTGTGTAAAAATTATGTCCAAAATCAAGTAGTATCTGAGGCTAAACAAAACAAAAAAAACAGTTCTTGTAAGTCACATTTTAAAACAAACTCTTAAAACAAAACTAACTAATAAATATTACTTTTGACCTAAATTTGAGTCTTTGAGACTTACAAATTTGGCCTCTAGGGTCTTAGTGGCACAAGGTACTCAAATTAAAGTGCAGATAGAGGTTTAAGTTTAGGAACTGTGAAAAATTCCTCTTGACCATGTCATAATTTCTATGTGAATACTCACCTATGGTTGACTCAGTCGAATGATAAAAACAGTGATAAAGGGTTATTGATACAACAGTTATATTATTCATTGATCACTGTTTTCTAGGAACACACCACTTTAGCATAGCTATAGAATTAGAGCCCTGTCCCCTGAATCGTCCCCTTCAGTAAATGTAAATTATGTGTACTAAAAAAACCATTTCAAATTGACGATTTAAGTGCAGGACCATACGTGACGAGTACTCCTTTGTGCTTTGTATATTCAAAGTATTTAAAAGTAGTAACTTATACGGAAAACCGCTTGCCAATTTAACGAAACATGAAATTTTAACTATTCTATGACAGCAATTATGAATTATGTTAAATGTCATTGTGCTTTAAGTTTATTGTATCTACATATTATACTACATTCTTACTTCTCAATCCTCTCCCTTGAGTGTACAACTGAATAACTTTTCGGAGCTAAAAAGTTGACTCAGTGGTGACAATACAAAATTGCTATCAAAATTAAAAATAATTAACATCTTGGAAACCTCTAACAAATTGCAAATGTTAACTTCAATTGTAAGTGAGGTTGTGGTTGCGAGAAGCATAATTGATTGCGCGGCGCGTCCCAGTAACGCATCACGCTACAAGCGCGACAAACAACAGACAAAGAAATAAAAAAGATTTGTCAAATGAAGTGCTTGACCAAACAGACTAAATTAATTTCCTACAAAACTTGCTCTGTCCAGAGCCCTTGCTCTTGCAGTGGCGCGCGCCTACCTCCTCCCTCCCGGCGTTGTGAAACAAGCGCGCCCGCAGTGCCACAGTGGCGCAAAAGCACATCGTTAGGTGAACTACAAAACTACAATCCAATAAAAATAATTCCCTCCAAAAACTGTAATCAAATGAGAAAGTATTGTCATGTTCACTAATTTTATAATACACGGATCTAACCAGATATTATTAACACGTCGCGCGCAGCATCAGAAATGATACCAAGATTTGTGGTGCCAAAAGTTGGTCGATGTGCAATGTGATAAAACCTTCCTGTGTCGCCGTTAGGTGGGCGCGCGCTATATACTGCAAGCGCTAGGGCTCTGGTTGTAGCGCGATGCACTACTGGGCCGCGCCGCACATCAGATAATTCTTCTCTCAACATTCGGTAGATCGGCAAGATGCACTACTGGGTCTCACCGAGCTGCGAAAGATTGACATCGTGAATCAAGGGCTCTGGTTAGATTACTGGGCCGCGCTCAGCCTGTCATTCCGCCAAATCTTTATTATGTTAATGAACATAATAGCCTGGGGTCCTCAGGTAATGGTTAGAGCAAAGCGCAAAACACAAGGGCTCCGGTTAGAGCAAACATTTCGCTGAAAACCAAATGCCGATAAAGGTTGATAATTATTTTACTTTCAAAAATAAATTCTAGCTAATGTAATTTTTTGTGTTGGATAGTATTATTTTTTAACAAAAT